GTAGCTGTTTATATATTGTTAATTATTAATGTTGGTGTTTTTACAAAGTTTATTAAATAAATTTAAAATCCGAATAATTTAGCCTATGCGTGCATTTGAGGGACGAATCAAGAAAAAAATTTTAAGGGACGAATTAAGAATAAAAATTTACGAGGGACGAATTGAGAAATCAATTAGGGACGAATCGAGGCTAAACCATTTGGAATTGGCCCAGTCTATATTAGAATTGAAAGATGCAGACATCTCAATCCTAAGTTGACATAGGTCAATTTAGAATTCCAAGATAATTTAGGTCAATCTGGAATTGGCCTAAATTCTAAGTTGGTCTGTAACATATACATATGAGAGTGAGCCTCTTGCACAAAAAAGGAAACATTCGCATACGTTATATTGTTTTAGTTGCCCGGTGCATTTTATCAAATAACAACTTTTGCACAGTCTATATACATGTAAATCATTATCACTAATAGACAACAACGTAAAACACGTTGAGTGTTTATTGTCTTTTGTTACAAAAATAACAATAACTAAATTAGAAAGTTAATGGAGAGAGATGACAGGCAGAGATAGTTAGAACACTGAAAAACTTTTTTGTTTTTATTTACATCCTACAAATATTTCATACACAACATAAAAACCGACTGTAATATACACAAATAAGTGCTGCACAATCGAACAATCTTTGCCTCCAGATCTGTATGATCAAGTCTAAGAAAGAATGAGTGGTTGACTCAAGGAAGAGAGAGCAAAATGTGAAAAGAAGGAAAAAAAAACATTTTTTTTTTTAGTGAAGAATAGTATATCTGTCTTTTCGTTTCGCTTAGTCAACTTAATTGTTACTAATAGCCTCCTCACGAACAAGAGAAGTCTATTATACATAAAAGAAAATATCTATTATCACTATGATGAAGATTTTTTTCTCTTACCGTTTTCTCAAAGATAATGTAACTATACTTTTATTTTGGCTTTTGTTGTAGGCTACATATGATGAGATTTTCTTTTACAAATTATTTTTCCCCAAAGAAATTTTTAACATCGATTAATTACATATAACGATTGCTGTTTTCTATTTGTCGTTTTTGTCGTATAAACTACAATTTGTACATTGCTGAAGATTCCACTATAATCATGAAAATAACTGTGTTCTAACCTATGCACATTACAACATACATTAAGTACATTAATTGTGAGCTAGAAAATATGCTTTAGATTAGTAGTTCGAACTGATAAATACAGTTTTGTGCTTCACCTAACAGACAGATACATTAATGATGGTGTAGATTTGTAAGCATTAAATAATAGAAGTATGTTGTTTACAGACAAGTTTTAATCGTATTCTATTATTTGATAGAAAAGAATGTGTGTTTCAATTATTACTTGCCAGGTTTCAGACAAAAGCACTATATGTTTTTCTTTTGATAATAACGGGTAAGATAAAATCACTATTCCATTTTTATTCTTTTTGTAGAATGTAAAAATATCACCTATTTTCAGAACACATACATCTTAAATCTTTTTTTTTTTCGAAGATTTTGTGTTTCTTAATTGTATGCATTATAACAATTCTTTATAGATCTTATTTAAGCAAAAAAAGTCATCTTTAATAAAGGATTATAAATTATGAGTTAATATAATGAGCGTTTGAATTTCATAGGATGGTTCTGCAGGTGAGTTTTAGTTTAGAAGCAGTATACATCGTTCGTGGTTATATTAAGAGTGAAATTAAAGAAGTTTAGATATGCATATCTTGCGTGAGAATCTTAGGTAAAAGATTCTTTTGAGAATTGTGCTGAAGAATAAATGCCATCAATCTCGCTATAGTTTTGACAGTGGTTCTCGTGATAAAGTCTGCGTGTTTTATCTGCAATAAACATTGTCTTTATGGGTAATTGTATCAAATATTAATAGAGTATTACATCCAAGACAATATAAATAAACTCATTTACACTAAAGCTAGAATTCTTCCTTCATACTCTTGTTGTTACCAAGAATCATTATAAAAGAAGTGGCATTCTTATATTTATTTTACGAACAGATAAAAGTACAAATTTATCAATGCAGGTATCTATTATATCTATTAAAATCATTCACTTATAGTTACATGATTTTCTAAAAGATTTTATGTCATATGCTAATTAATTCGTCGGTTACTATATTTGGTCAATTGATAAATTTAGAATGCATTTATGACATTATAAACAAGTTATGTTAATTTCTTTCGTATTACATGATAAAAATGCCCCAATCAAAGACAAAAACAGAAGAAGGCACATAAAACTATTTGTTGAACATTTTTAACGTACTATCGTAATAGTACGTACGAAAGAGCAGTGTTGCATATCTTCTTTTCAGTTATTTTATATGGAAGAGTACATTTTTTTATTAATAACAATAATAATAATCAGAAATGTCAACAGAACAATACGAGACAATAAAATTTAAAGAATATAGTTATAAGTAAAAGCACATATATACATGTGAGTTATTTTCAACTGGAAAGCCCACGCTGCATTTTTTTTTATAAAATCGAGTTCATCTGCACCGAACTATAGAAAAAAGAGTGAAATAATTTTATTTTGTAGTTTTGAACTGAGTACACGATTTACTGTCCGCGGATTTACTGTCCGTTGATTAATTTCTATTTTAATTAGTTTTTCTTCACAGAAAAGTATAATTTTTTGCTACAGAGGATTTACTTTCTGCTGATTACATAGAAATACATCCTAATTAACCAGTTTCTTGTATAAGGATTTACTTTCCACTGATTATTTGGACGAAAAGCAATGAATGAGCAAATGAATATTCATTGTGACAACCAATGTATTATTTTAATAAAAATTATTACAGTTTTTACGTTTGGGAGAATATCGATAATCGACATAGTTGTCTTTTGCCATGTGTAGATTTCATAAATTCAGCAGACATTATTAAAAACAGTGTGAGAAGAGAGTTGTGTATCTCTACCTTTATATATACATCTTTATATACATATTTTTACAATGGTTATCGTGTTGACGACTACTCTAGTTCCGAAATAAGTAACTACGTTAAAAATCATGATTACTGCTCTACTTTCTCAGCATTTCTCATTACTCAGTATCTAGAGTTATTGAACATTGCTCGTTCCCAATTAAAAATTTGGTTTATCGTTCCCTTATTGACGAATGTTTGTTCCACTTAGAAATTTATTCGTTGTTGCAATGAATATTTATTTGTTCATTCATTACTTTTCCTCCAAAGTGGAAAGTGAATCCCTATATAAGAAAGTGATTAATTAGGATATATTTCTATGTAATCAGCGGAAAGTAAATCCTCTGTAGCAAAAATTATACTTTTCTGTGTAGAAAAACTAATTAACACTAGAACGCCCGGAAATTTTCATGACCTAGAACGCCCATAGCGGTCATTTTGACCGTTACTGTTTTTTTTTAAAATTTTATACTTAAAGATGATTCTGAATTAAAAAATGAATTAAAAATTCTGCAAAAAATAAATTTTTGTGGGACAAATTAAAAGTTATGACATAATTTATTTATAAATAAATTTTATGCAGTTTGTTTTATTAAGGATAAAAATCACAAAACAGTCAAAAAAAAACAACTACGGGCGTTCTAGTGTTAAAATAGAAATTAATCAACGTACAGTAAATCATGAAAACCATTTTGAACCCATGTGGCTTCATCGTGTTAGTATCAAGTTGGTGTTTTTGATGAGATACAGTTTTCTAGAGGTAATTTTTGATACTGATTACGCATTTGATTATAAATTCTACATTTTTCCTATACCGTCTTGTGGAAGTGAAGATCCTAGCGCATCGCGAACTATTGAAGTAACAATTTCTGAGTGTTCTACTTTGTACAGAACATGAAGTTAAATATGTACAAAATATTAAAGTTAACGATCATGTTTTTAGACATAAACACCATGTGTAACGCATAGGTAGATTATCATTTTACTCATTCTGTTAGTCTCACAGAAGGAATTGTAAGGAAAGAAAGAAGTACTGTGGTATACTTATTAAAGTCCCATTTTATAGCAAAAAGCGTACTCATCTAAATCTACTACGGCCTATACTCAACTGATTGAATCATTGTCCTGATATGGTCGTTTCATCAAGCACTCTGTTTTAATCGAATATTCTTAGGGATCTGGTAATTTCCCTTATAGCAGGTCAATGGGTGAATAATAAAGTGAGTTCAGTTGGTAGCGAGTGGACACCTAGAATCGGTCTCTCATCAAGTGTGTACTTCGTGGTTGTTTTCACATTTTAATTCACATCAAATTCTAAATGTCATATGTAAAATAAAAGTTGTGGGGGATAATTCGCCTCTTTTCTTTTGTTATTCTAACACTGTCGTCAGAGTGTTGCGCGAATATTCCACAGAAGGCGAAATTACTCTAACTAATTAGGAACTTATAGTGATTCCTGAGAATTATTTTTATGCAAAATAATAATTCACAAAAACTTCTACTTCTATTGCTCATATCTAACAGGATCCTAGGAGAGAGAGAGAGAGAGGATAGTGAATCTTTTTTATAAATAGATATGGATGAAACACGCTAATTAAGTACGCAGGATAAATATTCGTGAGGAAAAATCACAACCCGTCCATACGTTTGTCATTGAAATTAAAATGATTTAATGAGCACATCATAAAAAAAATGATACACTATTAAAGAAAAACAAACGCTTCATCAGGTGAATATATGGAAACTATAATGGGAGTAATCAGTCATACTTAGAATAAAACCTTTGCATAACCCTTTGAGAAAACATAATAGCTGAAGCTACTCATCGTATGTTCGGTTATGTGATTATCAAAATAAAGTTACATATTTTTTTAAAATTTTATAGGTATACGTGTATAGATAAAAAAACAGTAAAATTGTGAGATGGATTTGAGCAATGTTCTTGCATTTAATTTATTAATCATTCAACTAATACATTTCTCTTACTTTTCTTTAAAGTAGTGATTAGCCTTGATATACAATAAAGCATAATGACCAATTTAACAACAGTAACAATTGAAGATGTGACGCAAATATTATACAATTATGCGCATAACAACAGCAAGTATTCGTTATTGTCAACTCCTCATCTTAATTCCAAATGTATTCAGAATCGTCTCTATTCAACATTTTATATATTAATTAAACATTTACATTCTACTTATTTACGATTTTTAATCTGTCCTAGTATTCTGTTAAATATTCTTTGTTTAATCGTGTTATCACGACCGCGTCTATCAAAAAAATCGACAACCATATGCTACCTAAGAGCATTAGCATTATTTGATATGTTCTGTATAACATTAAAATATTTTCGTGCTGAACTCAATTATCAATCGGCTGAAAAGGGTCACAATATATTTCTATTGAAGTCAACATTCTGTAAGATATTATACGTTTTACTTAGTACATCGATTTCAGTAGATATATGGATTATTGTACTCATGTCACTGTAAGTAATGCAGCCACACTCTAAAACAGAAAGTTTATCCTCAATGGAGCATTTAGAGGCTACAAAAAAGCGATGTTCTGTAAGAACAAGTTTCAAATCAGTTTTAATTTGAAACTTTTTTCTAATAAAGCATCTATCTTATGCTATGTACATAATATGTCACGTCGAGTGTCAAACCGGAATTTCGAGTACGACTTACTCAAAACTGAGTAGATTAAGTCCTCTCCCCGACGTCAAGAATATCGATTTTTAGAAAAGTACATAATGCTGTAATACAGAGTCTTCTCTTTCAATTGCAAAAACACATTTCAGAGGTTTCTAACAAGCTTTCTGAACGTCTAAAATAGCGGTTATATTAGTGATAGAATTGATATAGGAAAAAATGTTTAAATAGACAAATACCCAGGTAAGCAAAAGACGGGTGAAATGACTGATCCGGACGACCGTCCCAACTAGTCTTAGCGACAAAAACGCCCCCGTCATGACTAGTCCGAAATTTTAGCTGTCATCATACACGTCTGGACTGTACGGCAGACTGAAGTCAGCTAACACGTCCCGACTAGTCTTTACGACAAAACCTACCCCATCATGACTAGTCCAAAATTTTAGCCGTTAATTACAAGAAAACCCTCCGTAGTATTGCCGCTGACTAGTACCCAGTTTTTCAAAAACCGGAGTTTCCAAAGACGCATTGGCAAAACCATCGTCATATTCGAAATCAGCTTGCTCGGTTACCCATTGTCCACTAAGTTTTACGTCAAAAGCGATTTGACAGTTGGGGGCCTTCCCTCGTGAGCCAAGCGGAAAGTTTTCGAAAAAATTCTTTGCTAAAAAATCCGTGCAATATGCATCGTTCAATTCGGTTTTCAGGTGAATTTCAGATATCACCTAGCTTCAGTTTCAAACTCACATCTTTCCGGTGGAAAAATTGAAATTATTAGGACGATTTTTCTAATTTCTTGCTACCGGCTACATTTGGTGTCTAAGTTTCTCCATAAAGCTACCATTGGTGACATTGTAAGAACAGTTCGCCACTTCACTTCTAGCCAAGTCAATTTCTGAGATTATTATTTCATTAGGTTTTTTCAATTTTTTATGTCTGACAAATCTATTTATCTGTTTTTCGCACCGCTCTCAGTTTTATTTACTAGCTGAATTGGCCTTAATTAATTCCTAGCGCTTAAACTTTACTTGTCTCCACGCTAAGCAAAAATACATTGGCTAACAGCTCTTTAATTTATTTACTCATCTCTATGTTCGTCATCCTCACTTTATAAACACTTCAAAATTCACTTCAAGTAAAGTAGAAGTGAGCTGAAGTGATGCTATTTTCTCCCCTACATATTCAGATAACTTTTCAAAAGCAAAAATAATCCGCATTTCTCAAAGGCATTTCTTGCCTTCACTGCGTTTCGTACTTGTAGAAAATCTCAGCCAAAGTAAGTCGGTTAGAATTGAAGTGGATCTCAAATTGAAACTACATCCTTCTATAGGATGACAGAACCTAGTTTTTACTTAGATTGGACTTTTAGTTAACTTCTGAGGGGGAGGGGCAAGCTTAAGTTTCAACAGGAAAGAAAAGTACAGTGGTGTATTTAACCTTAAACCTTCTGTTTTAAAAAATGAGCAGACACATATTTCTGGTGTTATGTTATGATTAATATTTTAGAGATAAATTAATTGCTGTTCGTTATCCATTAAAAAGTACGGTATTATTAACTCCAAAACGTGCCTATACATCAACTATCGTCGTCATATCTGTTCTGTTCTGTATAAATCTATACTTTATACATACAGCTGATATTAAATTAAAAGGTACAAAAAAATATTGCACAGTGATAACTGAATCAGTACTAATTGACCTCGTCACTGCATCGTTTCTACCCATAGGTAAGAAGGACCTCTGTGTTACGCAATCTACAACCAATTGCTTTTTCTGTATTTTAGGGATAATAACCGGCGCTAATATTTATATAGCCATTGTGTTACGTAATGCCACTCGAAGAGCATTAGCGTGGAATGAAACGACTTGTAGAAAGGCAGCGAATACAAATAACACATGTAGAGTCAGATATAACAAGAATAAAAAACATTTCATGACTTTTCTCAACAAAAGAAAGCGTACGATTGACTTTGAATATGATGGTACATTCAAACAACAACAACATTATTCATCCTGTCTCGTACAAACATCATCAAATATTGATGGAGAATATCGTTTATCTATCGAGCATAACAATACAATAAATGTCGTAAAGAGAACAAGCATTCAAGTGACACGAATGTTACTAGCTGTTACATCATCGTTAATCATCCTAAATATTCCTAATACGTTATTTTTTTCACTAATTAAAATCTACGATCCTCGTTTAGTTCTACATGATCCCAACACAATGTATCGATCATTAAGGAGTTGTTCTCTAGTGACAGATAAAGATTTGAGTATTTATAAATTTGGTATTTATTCGTCGTTACTACAAAACATTCTTAGCGATTTACCACATGTTGTAAATTTTTTTATCTATTGTTTTGCTGGTAAAAAATTTCGAATTATATTTAAAAATGAAGTTCTATTATTTTTTCAAAAAATTAATTTATTACATAAAACAAACACAACAAAGTATTGTACATCGGTATTAAGAACAATTGACATTCCTAAGCTATCCAGAACTAGAAGAGCACCGAGTCTTTCATCAATTAATAAAAACTTCTGCCATTTCAATCAAGTTAGAAGTACGACGTCATATGTCACAAAAAAGCTAACAAATAAAAGATCAATTAGCAAACCACAATTACCATTAATAGTAAATCCTAATGTTAAGAATAAAAGTGTATGTTCAAGGGCAAATAAGTTACTTATACATAATACGAGTAACACACGTAATAAAAGACAAATTAGTCGTGAAACCAATAGAAATCAAAGAATAAATTTATTAGTGCCAGAATTAAGTCTTAAAAGTGATAGCGACATATCGATTAGTAATCAAAATTTATCGACACCCTTTAATGGTGCAATATTCAGTAACGATCGTGCAATCCTATAGTGGAAAATTCGACTTATAGAAATTAAACTTTCATGTTGTTTATATATATTTTTGTTGCCTTGTTTTTTTCTGAATAAAATCTAAATAGCAACCAGTGATTTCAACTACAAAGACATGGTTAATCAACTCCTCCTTCGATTTTGACTTACAATCAGAATTTTTAAGTTACTTTCCATCGCGAAAAAATGTTCTACTTCTTTATGCCTACATCTTATTATTTTGTCTCAATAGAGAATTGGTCTGAAGGTCAATTGTGTTACTGTCTCTTACAAGGTCCAGAGCATAAATTTAAAATTTTTTTTATTTTATTACTGATCACTCTTCGTCGAGTTCTCTCGAGACGTCTGCGGGCTCTCTGTGACACTTTTTCATGAAACACCATTCAATTTACGAAAGGTCCTAAGGGCGTAACTTTCTTGTTTGGGCCTTTCGTACAGAACCTGTTTTTCTCCTGATCAGCAGAAGAAATTAAGATCGTGAGCTTGTTGTATATATGCAAAAATTAGGTATTGTATATATCTAATAGCTCTAATAACTCGCTCATTGCCCATACTGCGCAAAAATCAGAAGAAACCCAGAAATTTTTCTGGAGATCCTCTGGAGACCTTCCAATGTAACCATCAGACTCGAAATGTCGTTAGATATCTCTTGCTCAGCATACAAATCTAACACATTATGCATCACCTATGGAAATAACTTTGAAATTTTTCAAAGAATTGTGTGGTCACTATATACTACGTGACTTAGCAAAACAAAACGGTGATTATGAAAAAACAAACCTAGCTCTGGTCTTGAATCTGACCAGCGTCTGTTTGTCAAAAAATGCCAAGATCAGACGAAGATTTACTGTTTGTCTGATCAGTAGAAAAAACAGACTATCTTGATCTGGTCTTATCACCTTCTTGTTCTGACCTTAGAGCAGAACAAGAAAAAGAAACAGGAAACAGGCACCTGTAAATAAATAAGTCTTCACACTGTTTTCAAGACCAGACAAACTGGACATTCTCTGGGGCTGTTATACGAGTTTAATGATTAGAGTGTCATGTACTCTTTTTCTGTCAACAAGATGTTAAACCTGTTGCCACCATGTACAGTGATAAATGGCAAGCATATTCCTCACTGTTCGGCAACAAATTCTCAAATGTTCACGGTTCTACCATTTTGTCCTCCACTGGTATTTTGTTTTGAAATCATACTACTTCTGCGCCATATTAGAGAGGAAAGTATTGATTGGCGGGTTATTACCTAATTTGCAAAGATTTACGTCCTCTTTAGCATATCTTGCCATAAAGATCATTCTTTATGATCATTGCTATAACTTCATGCTATAAACTATCCAAACACCTGTATGATAATATCATATAGGTGTTTGGATAGTTTATAGCAAACAGAGTTATTCTGAGATTCCAGCCATCCACAAAAACATCACTCTTTCTGTCGTGCACGTCTCAGGATTTATTAGATGTGTGATATGAATCTGTCGATAAAATCTAATTGAAACAAAAAATCTTTTGTTTGGAATTTGAAAAATTAGTTTTGAAAGAATGAACTCTGAACTAGAACTAGAAGAAGAAACGACTGCGGATGAGAATGTAGCAGAGAGTCGAGAACATGTGAATGTGTGTGAAAATGAAAAAGAAGAATATTATATGGTGGGCATGCACAAATCGTTATTATACAAACTCATATAGAATTCATGTGACGAAAGCGATTTTAGCGGTCGATCATTCATGCATCTCATCCAACAAACTAATGAACTGTGTCCTGTACAAAACGAAAATTTGTAACTTTTTTTTAATACAAATTGTTCTTTTTCTAATAAACATTTATCGCATTTCTCTTCGCCCAGCGACTGCTACTCGACCTATACTCCGCGTCATCTATGGTTTGTTAATATAATTGCTCTTTTATTCGTTAAATAATATGTTTTGCCTTTTCTGTCATATACATAAAAATGTGGTGTCTATTCTGAATTCACATATTCTTCTCTTTTACAAAAGTCTACCTTGAATGTACGGTCGAAAAAAAACATATTGGCATCTAATTCTTGTAGAAGACAGAAAGGCTAGGATCGTTTCGAATCTAAATCCCATTTAGAAGATATGAAATGATGAAAACTTTGTTAAGTACTTTCTTTATTCGATAGTCATATATGTTTTATTATTAACAATAGTTACTTCTCTAGTCCAGTAAAACGATTTATTACTGGCCAGCATGAAATTCTTAATAATTATTAGAAAATATTTTCATTTTTCGTCGTAGAAGTATGAGATTTCGTGAAGTAAGGTCTGATAGTATGGTTGGCAATATCATTAACATACATCTATTATTTTTATAAAAGTGTTAGTAAAAAATAAACAGCGCTACTTTAGAGCTGCGACTGACTTTGACCAAATTAAATATTCTTACTGTTTAAAATAGCGTATACCTTCAGTCTATAACTAATAAACCGTATAGTGAAATTTTCTGCGTGACTTTATTTTAGATTTGATATATTATGGTTGATAATGACGATGAACTTCAATTAGACGATTTATTCGAGGCAATCAAACGAAATAAAGATCAAGTAAAGTGTTGTATCTTGTAGAATAAATAAACAAAGTAAATAGAACTATCTTTGTTCTTTCTAGGAACATGAAGCATTCTATGTGTATGAACAATATTTAGATTCTCTACGCGCAAATAAATCGAATGAAGAAAAATTAAAAATATTAGAACAGATATTGAAATTAGAATGTATCGAAAAAGCTAAAGTAAAAAGATTTGGAAAAAAATTGTCTTCTGTTATTTGTATCTATTTATCTGTATAGGCAAATGGACTTGAAGAAGATCGTCGAAAAATCAATTTAAAATGGACGACATTAAAAGAATGTGGCATGTTAAAACGAAAAGTTGGCCATATCACTGAAGCAATTCAATGTTTGGATAAGGTATTTCAGATATAATCAAGAGTTGACTACCTTGAGTCTGTTTTTAATACATAACAATTTTAGGCAAATAAAATAGATGAAAATGGCATGCTTTATTATGAATTGGGTCTATGTCATTTAGAAAATGGAAATATATTTAGCGTTAAAACATGTTTTGAAAAAGTTAGTTAACCTCTTATACTACTTTACCGTTCATTATTTATTAATCTTCGATTTAGACAATCTCAATGTGTAATGAAATATTTCATTGGAAATGTCTTGATCAATTAATATCTATTTATTATTTATTAGGAAACTTTACAAGTACGTATCCTGAGAAAGAGTTTTGTGTTAACTTCTTATTTTTCTCATATTCTATTGTTTAGAATCTATTAAATATATTTCAATTGGTTTAAATCGTTCGTCAATGTATCGAGTTGGTTTATTATGTTTAAACTTAATTCTACGTAAACAACCGTCAATGAAATATTTAATTGATGATACATTTAAAGATTTTAATGGTGAATTAGTAGTACTAGAAGACAGTGATGTTAATCAATTTGAAGTTGATATCGAACATTTTAAACAAAACATTTTCAAATTACAAAATTTGCCACAAGAACAACAAGCAATAGTTAGCAATCCACCTACAGCTATTAGCACGTAAAAAGAACTAATTTATGAGAGTGTATTGTTTTTCTAATATTATTTTCTCTAGTTTTCAAGATTTTGGACAATATATTTTGAAAAAAATGAAAGAATACAGTGGACTTATAGCGGTAAGGAAATAAAATATAGACTTTCTTTTTTGCTAAGAGGATACCCTCAGAAAGTCGATTTTTTGATAGAAAATTGAAATCGAGTTTTTTGCACAGATAGATAGCTTGAAGTGTCTTCATTAAGAATCAGTAAAGCTCTTTATGAAAAAGTTAGGTTTTCTAGAAATTCCATCCGAAAGAGTTATGTGCACTTCAAACTTGTTTTATGCTTTTTCAAAAGGCATTTCCCGCGCAGTAAGGTACATTTTTCTCATGCTGGTTCAACATAATCTGATGAACTGTTTTTTGTTTAATAGTTAAAACATAAACACATAACGTGAAAAGATCATTTATTTGAGATTTCGCTTTGAAAAAAAGTGCATTTTACTAAGGAGAGAAGATGCACTTTTCTGAACTTTCAACTTGTAATGTTTACTAAAAGCTAAGAGCACCTGCCGCTTTTCAGATTTAGACATCTACTATCTGTTTCAAAATATAAGACAGTCGATGTTTTCAATAACCTTTGATAGAAAGGAGCTAGAGAGCTTCGATTTTTGCCATTCGAAAGAGGAGACTTCGGGACATGTTTTCATAAGCAAAACATGTTTTTCAGAAACAAGGTTCCTAAGAGATTTTTGAAAAACTAGGTTGTGTGTAAAAAGTTTCCAATCCAATTAGGATTGTATTGTTTTTTTTCATGGGCTGGTAGCCTGCGATCTCTTCTTCAAAACGGAAGTCAAGCGAGACCCTGATATTTCGCGTTGTACAGGATTTCTTACGAGTCCCAGGACTGACATCCAGTGGTTATTGGTACACTTGGAAACGGGTGGATTATAGATAATCGATCGTGCTGAGTCTTGGGGAAATATTTAATTTTAGAAAAGTTTTGTAAAAACTCTTTCTAGATCCCCTGTAAATGGAATATAGAAGAGCCTAAATACTGTACATTTTAAAGTTTTGAACTCGTTCTGATACTTTTTAAGTGAATAGCGGCTCTTTAAATTAAGCGAAAACAGTCTGAAAACCCAGATTTTCGTAAAAACACGCTTTTCGCTAGATTTTCAAAACTTTTTCTAAAAATAAATATTTCCACAAGACTCACGAGGAGAGGTCCCCAAGTGTGCAATCGCCTTTTCCTTAAACTCTAGTGGACAATAGGTAGTCGACTGCGCTAAATCTACCTATAATCCACCCGTTTCCAAGTCTACCAATAATCACCGAATGTCAGTTCTGGAACTCTTAAGTAATCCTTTACGATGCCCGAACCTCGGAATATCAATATCTAGTTTTTTAAAAATCTCCTAGAAAACCTGTTTCAGAAAATCCTTCTGAAAAACATGTTTTGCTTTTGAAAATATGTCTCCAAGTCTCCTCTGGAAATCTGAGATCTCTAGCTGCTTTCTATCAAAAGTTATGGAAAACATCGGCTGTTTTATACAGTACTGGAACAAATTATAGAACCGCTGTATTTCTGAAATTTTTTGACGAAGCCCAGCGGATTAATCAAATCTGAGTAGTGATTTGGATAGTCCTGGAAGTTCTTTATCAAATGCAGTATGCGTCAAAATTCCAGAAAAAAGGTTTCATAGAAAGTTTGCTAGAAGACCCCCTCCAACGAAGCTCTAAGTCCTAGAGAATTTTGTTAAAAATATTTTCAATATAGCCATCTTAAAGAGCATAAAATTCTGAAAAACATGAAGCGTCGCACAGCTTTCCACGATCTTTCGTTGCAAAGTTACAGGCATCAGAAAATTCAAAGAAATAGTATAATTTGCGAAAACACCGCTAAAAATCGTCTAAAAAACAAGCACTATTCAGATTTGATCTAGCCACTGAGTTTCATCAAAAAATTTCAAAAATACAGTGGCTCTATAATTTTTTCTAGTACTGTATTTCGAAACAAATAGTAGTTTCATTTAAAACAAATCCGACTGCTCATCTCCTTCTAGAATACACACACGTCGTTAGACTCTCTAAGTACAACCGTGCAGACGATGGAGTTATTTACTTTTCTTTTCCTTAGAAAATCACTGAACGTGTCGATGTCAAATCCTTTATAATGGTTAATGATGATTTATCATTGCCAGACAATAATGACAGTACAAGTGAGTTGTAAAGTTCGTTTTCAACGGAATTATGACATTTCTGACATCTCTGATTGAGTACGCTGGAACAGTACAGAATATGCACCATCTATTACGCTCAATATTTTACTCTAGTTACAAATCAATTAGATGAATCAACAACAGCAACAAAATCAAAATCACGTAAAAAACGCACATCGTGTCCATCGTCAAATGTTGGAGTTGATGATTATGAAAAACGTCGATCAGCAAGGAGTGTAGGTCACTTTTTGTAGTTGTGAACATCGAAAAGAGATTAATGTTGTTGTTTAGATAACTCGTACACTAGTGGAAGAAAATAATATAATGGACAAATTACGACGTTTATTGGGTATTGATGACAGTAGGTTAGTTATTTAGCAGAAAAAGAACTAATTTATCTTATAAATTATTCCATTCCACTTTTAGTTCTGATGATGAAGAACAAGATCCAGATATGTCAACAAGTCAGAAAACAGTAACAATACAAGATAACGAAAATGGTTAGTGAAAAAATAAAAGATTATCACTTAATTAAATCATTTACTTTATTTGAATCAAGTTTTAAGAACAAATAACTTATTTTCACTGCTATAAATCTCGGAGTGTTGTTTATAGGCCTCCCACAGCCACCTCAACCATCTGTAATACCAAATAATCAACCTGTTCAAATTGATTTTCATAAATTTATTCAATCAATCGCTGAAAAAGATGATTCCTTGCATCTAATAGACTTAATGTTCGCTTATGTTGAAGAATTAACAAAACATTCGTCCGATCTATGGTACATGTCTATATTGTAGACGTAACTCAATTTCAGATCAAATTAAAATTAGTCTGGATGTAATTTAACTCAAGATGCATGCATGCGTCGATCTGATTTACGCCTCGGCAGCAAAACTGGATTTTGACGCGGGAATTGAATTCAGAAGGTCAGGCGAAAAAATTATCATTATTCGTATTTTTCTCCAATTAGCTATCGTTTTTTTATACGTGATCATGTTTTGTCACCATATGACTAGTTCTTTTCATCTTGTTTTTCTGTTCACTCGGACGTACATGGATCTAGAAAAAATAATCGCGCGATTTAACCAAGAAATTATGATTTGGTCGAATTTTTCAAACGTAAAATATTTTTTGATTCGAACTCAGTTTCTTGTGTCAAAATCCGGTTATGCTGTTCTTTCGAATTGAAGTTATGGAGAAGCTACAATGGTTTCCGATTGACTTGGACTAAAAAAAATTTATTTTTATCTTAAACTTATGTTTTTCAAACAATTTTAAATTTGTTTTTAGTCTGATCAGATTAGAAAAGGCGTATCTCAAACTTAAATTATACCTAGACTCATTTTAAATTGACTTGAATTTGAATTACTCACACAATATCTGCTTACAATGTAGTGCAATACATAGTAAAAATCGCTTTCTCTTTGTTTTAGGTCAAATGAATTACGTACAATGTACGCGAAATTATTTGATTATTTGATAGATTACATTCAGTTTCCATCTGTACCTCAAGAGTAAACTATTGTTCTATATTTTCACTTATTTTCTCTCTAACGTACATAATTTGTTAAATCTATTATAGTCTAGAAAGTCTATACTATATGAATCATTTGAAATCATGTTTATGTTATATTGAAAATGCATTGGGATCATTTAAAAGTGATTTAACAGAAGATTCAATTGAAAAGTAAAATTTTTCTCACAAGTACAATGTACAATAGTGATATTCTTTTATTTTTATTGTTTATTTAGATTTAGTCATTTAGCTCGTTTAAAATCGAAATATAAATCAATTGGTTATTGTTTTGGACGATTGCAACTATACTATTATCTTATACAATCACCAATATTTCCCACGACAATTGGTGATATGGATGTACATATTTCAATTAGAAGTAAGAAACAACAGGAAGTTTCATTCTCTTTAACTTGTATAATTAATTATTATATGTCTAGTTCTTTGGATATCGTGTCTATATTATTATTTATCTGGTGATATGAATGATTCGATAGCATGTGTAATGAAACTCAGAGAAATTTTAACTGTGAATAATGAAGATTTAACACAAACAATTACAATACCAAATCTTATGCAATTTTCAACGATTTCAAAAAGTACGAATAGCAACTTAACTGTGCATAATGAGATAATCAATTCTGTGTGTGGTGTATTTATAGATACTGTTGATAATGTTTTATCTCGACTTAAAAAACAGTCTTTGTGCAATGGTGATTTATCTAGTAGTAATTCTGATCATTCAACAACAAAATTAAATTCACTCATACAACGGATACTTGTAACCGAAGATAATGTTGAATTAGAATCAATATTAATTGAATTGAAAAAGAATATTGATAGATTTTGTTTACATTTAATGACGAGTGGGAATAATCGATCTCAGCAAAACTCAGAAAAATCACTACTCAAATTATGTGAAACATTAATTCCAATTTTAACTGGAAAAATAAACTTCAATACACCTGAATTTTTAGCTGCAAGACAAATATACGATCAAATTATAGCAGCACTTATTGATATATTATTACGGTAAGTACTGTTGGCTATGTATGGTAAGATTATGATTAATATTTTTTTTCTTTTTGCAGATTGATCGATGATGATCAGGCACCAAATTGGTCTGATACATCATTCAAATCACTTCAGAACTTAATGATAACGTTAATTGATTCAATAATGAAACGTGATAATAATCAACAACAATTTTGGCATTTTAAATCAGCTAATCCATGGATCTTGTTACATTGTATAACGAAGAAGTAAGTAGTCTGTTCTGTTGACTCAAAGACTCGTTCGCTAACGCGGAAACATCTCCAAGTGTCATTTTGAGATTGTGGTCAAACATATCGTCAATAGTAAAGTCAACGATGCTCATCATGAATAGAATGTTTTTAGCTGTCACCATTAGATTACCTCACAAAGAAAAACTATCATCAAATCTTTAATATAGCCATTCAACTTTCAAAAATTTGCTGTTATTCTGTAAGTATTTTGAATTCTCTACGACCTGGCTATATTAAAGATTTGATGATATTTTTTCTTTGTGAAGTGATCGAACGGTGGCAGCTAAAAAACATTATATTCATGATGAGCACCGTTGATTTGATACTACTGCGGATATGTTTCACCAAAATCTTAAAGTGACACTTGGGAACGTACCCTTATAAAAGTATATTTATTCTATTTAGACGAAATCCAAAAAAGAATGAACGATTTTTAAATGGATTTGTCAAAACAGTGCACACTATGTTTGGAAAGTAAGTTGAAGATGACATGAATTTTTTTATTCTATGTCATATGAAAACTAATTTTTTAGACATTCATTGTGTCTAATGAATTGCGGTCAATTATTAGAATATTTTCTTCTTGAATTGTTACAACTGGAGCATTCTGATATTAAAAACCAGTTAAATATCGAGAAATCATCGAATAATGATCTAATGCAACGTCGGCTATCGACAACTTCCTCTTCTTCAGCGACCATGTTATCATCAGAAAAAAGCAAATTATCAAAAATAATTGATGAAGCTGAACAGTGTATTTATTGTCTTTATGGAATTGTTCTAAGAAAATCAAAATTTAAAAATTTATGTGATCATCAAGTTTGTCCAGTAAGGTTACGTGATACTAAAATGCGTAAACCTCTTCAATGTGCAAATGTCGTATGTTTATAGGTTGAATTTACATTAAAAAAAGCCAATATTGTCTTTTATTTATTAAAACCAAAAGAATTACCGGGATACGAAGGAAGAATAGCGTGTGTAACAAACGAAGTAAATAATCAATCAAATTTGAACTTCACTCACTAACAATTTGTTGTTTTGTGCCTTTATATTTAGACTGAGAGTATCTTTCATCGCTTTGAAAGCATGATCGATTGGGATGTGAACCGTGAAGCGACAAGACTAGAATTATTAGCTTATATTGAAAAATCAGCTAAAATTGATTGTACTAATTCACTAAATAAGATGTATCAAGAACAATTTCAGTTAAAACCATTCCATACCGATATGTAAGTTTGACTTATCTAATATACGTGATTTGGTATACAAAGACAGAGAACTGGCAGAGTTGAAATCTGTGAATGTAATAGAATTTTTCTTTTTTCATTGTTTTTATTATTCAAAACATTTTCAAGTGCAACAAAATTGAAGAGAATTCAGTATAAATGTATACATTGAAATTGTTATACATGAGAATGAGAACTCAGTTAAGATCACTTAAGATTTAAAAACATACCAAAAGAAATGGCTACTGATAACATCGAGTCGATTGCACAACTTCAATCATTGTACAGAATATAGATACAGAACGGTGAATTTAGTTTTGTAGTAGTTTACTACAAAGCTAAGTTCACATGTTCGAATCTCTATTCGTACAAAATTGATTTTGTGTTTTTCGATAGTTTTAGTTTAGAATACTATAATGGAATATTTTCCGCTTGTATTCTGACAGAATAAAGCTTATATCAAGATCACTACCAGTTACATGTTTGCCAAAGGATGTACAGATAATTTCTTATAGAATCTGATAAAAGTAAGAAATACTGTAGCCATTTTGTAAGTTAGGAAAAGTATATCGTTGAATCATCATATGATCAACATGTTTCTAAAACATCTTGAAGCAACCTGGTTTATTATGAACTGTGGCCTCTGAATCAAAAAGTTCTTTTAGATGAAAATTGTTGTTGTAACCAGTTTCTTTTGTCTCCAAATCAAATGAGTTCATCTGTCATTATTTTTTAGTCCGTTAGAAAGAGATTTATATTATCTATTGGCTGATTATTATTTAAAAATGAGTTCAAATGATGTAGCTAAAACTGAAATATCAAGAAAGTGAGTCTTATATTTTCTCACTATTTACAATTTTCTGTAGCTACTTATTACTCACTGTATTTACAGAAAAGCACGTGATTATTACATAAAAGATTTATGTTTTAATCCTACACGATTTGATTCATGGGCTGGTTTAACGGTTATTAAATTTAGTGAAATTGAAAAGATTGTTGATGTAAATTATTTTCTATTGTATTTATTCGTAAGGTGTATTTTTCTCTACTATAGGAAGACGAATATAATTCAGTAATATTCGAGGAATATAATTCAGCTAAATGTTTTTTTACACAAGCAATTTCAATCGATAATAACAACCATACACTATGGATGGAATACGGTGAAGTGACGTATGTTTTACACGCATACTGTTCAAAATATGTATGTGATAGATACGAATGTATTGTCACTTTACTTTACTCTGCTCTATTTTATTTAGAGAACACAATCATCAGCAATTATTTTGGACAGAAGTACTCTTTTAGATCGATGTAAAACAGCTTATATAACTGGTAATCTATGTACTGATAATGAACATAAAGAAGAATGGGCTTATTTATATATGTCGGGAAAAATACAGCAAAAACAACAAAGATATCATTTAACAGAATATTTACAAAAATTTATCCAAGTGAGTTACTATATTATATAATGGCTATTGAAGATTATATTCTTCATTTTCTAGGCACTTGACATTTTACATGAGCAAAAAGCACAATATCCTCGTAAACTGGGACATCAAAATGCAACAAATACCAAACAAACACATTTAGCTGCACATGCACTTGAGGTAATCATCAATCCAATTTTAATTTATTGGAAATAAAAATATTATTTATTTATGTATTTAGATGTTTTATCGTATTCATGGTACATCACTGAAATATATTAGTGCCTATAGTCATCATCAATTTGTAACATTAGAGCAATTGAATGATTTAATTCAGCTTTTACAAAATATTCAACACAAACCATTTTGGACAAGTTTTTATGAAAGAACAAATGTGTAAGACTATGCGACCACTTTTTTTAGATTTATCCGACTTTTTTTGTTTTTGAATACCTTTTATAGGTCACACGATCGAAGAAGTGCCCAGGTCATTCATGAAATGTATTTCTCATCTGATAGAAAATGTAAGATCATAAATAACGTAGCTAACGTTTCTCGAGCAAACATTGCCATTCACTCGGTTGTTATATTTTAATGAGCAGATGATCCGACTGTGGTCTCTCCGTCAAAAACGAACTATTTAGTAGTCTCTCCTGAATAAAAATCATTTTCGACAAATAGTACGTTCTCTCCTTGATTAAAACTCGTTATCGTAACTTTAGTTGATAACTCTGATCAAAATCACGATTGGATAAATGCTTATACAAAATGTGTGATGTTATGCGTTGATGGTAAGAATTATGATTAAGTATGAACAAATACCGATACTCGCGGCGATATCGGTCTCGACTAGTACCACTTATTTTTTTCCAATAAACTTCTGCGAGCGCCCTGACCATTTTCATTGATGTCGTGCTTTTTAAAACTATCTCCATCTACAGACTCGATTAAATATTGAGTGTTACTTTTTGTAGTAATAGTAGTCAAAAAAAGCAGCTACACATTCTGAGTGATGTTTTGAAAACATATATAGAAAAAGATATATTTTTAATATATTTATTGTTTAATTACTGATATATACACTGATTGACAAAAAATTAGACACTCGTCGTACTTTGTTTAGAATACAACAGCAGTTTTAATAATTAAATCAATTTTTCTATATTACCACTATAAATACAAATAATTCAAGAAAGATGAACTAAATGCACACAAATATTGCAGGATTTCAAAGTTCCTACATTGTTGCATATATACGCCAGTTCTGCTTACAGAAAACTCCAGGAGAACAGTATCTCCCTTACTATGTCGCTTTCTCAGTCTTTTACTCTAAATATACAAAGACTTTTGAGAGTACCGACGTTCACGGAAAGTAGCAAACGCCTCGTCGACATTTCGCTATTGCCGTCTCATCGACGGGATGGCGCGCAATCTACATCTGAAAACATCAGTATACGAATATCTAAAATTTTTCTACTATTAACAAGTTTTTCAAATATCGCCTGGAGAAACCTAGTTAAAAAAATATTACTAAATTCTTTTTGTCATGTTCCAGTTAAGCAATAAATATATTAAAAATATATCTTTTTCTATATATGTTTTCAAAACATCACTCAGAGTCTCCGATGACGAAGAAATGTGTAGCTGCTTTTTGCTGACTACTATTGCTACAAAAAGTAACACTCAATATTTAATCGAGTCTGTAGATAAAAATAGTTTTAAAAAGCAAGACATCAATGAAAATGACTGGGGCACTCGCAGAAGAAGTTTACTGGAAAAAAATAAGCGATACACTAGTTGAGACCGATATCGCCGACGATATTGGTTCATGCCTAATTATGATTTTGATTTCTAGTCAGTCACTTTTTCTACATTTTGGCGTTTAGGTCTTTATTTGTGTATTGTGAAATATAATCGTCATTATCGTGCTTTATATCGTTTAGCACATTTTTATCATACAGATCATTATTTTAAGGTAAACAGATGTTTTATACTATTGTATCTATATAATATGTTTTTCTTTGGATTTAGAACGATCGTCTTAGTCTTGATTTTTTAATTGGTGGTAAGGCATTGGCATTAGAACATTATCCACAAGTAACAGGTCTATTTGAAGAACGAACTAAAACCAATCTATTTAATGTAAGACAGTAGATGTCACATATGTAAACATTTTGTTAAGAATGTAGCTCATGATTATTTTTAGGGAATTTGGCGTCTTCAACCATTGGATTTAGAACGATGTGGCTCATTTAATTCGTCAATGTATAAATGTACATTATTGTTAATCGATCTATTAGCTTCGTTAAATGAAAACATAATATTATTTGATATTGTTAAACAATTATATACAAAACCAGAATTTGAAAAGTAAGAATCATTACTTGATAAAATAGGAAGAAAACGTATTTTATTTTATTCTTCTATCTACAGAAAATATTTATTGGAAAATGAACGAAAACATGCTTGTCATCGAACAATATCAACATTGATTAAAAAATTAATCGATGAAGTATACTTTGTATATAACACTTTCGAATATGTTCTTTAAGAATTGTTGATTTCAGATATCTTCCAAAACTATGGGTGAAATTGAATTGGAAGCGCTAACCTTGATAGCTGAACCAGAAGAATGTCCACCACTACCAAAATTATTCGAATTAACTATTAATCTATATAATTTAACGAAAACAACAGAATTTTTTCACGATTATGATTTATCACAACTTGTACAATTAGGATATCAACGTTATAAACCGATATTGAAAGTAATGTTACTTATGTTATGTAATTTTAACTAGAAAAATCGTAATATCTGGTTGTTTCGATTGTACACAGCAACTCATAACATGTAGAAATCATGGTTTTCATTTATGAGATGAACGCTGTTGTTTTTCTTTTTTCGTAGATATATGTTGGAAGGATATACCATTTTTCTGAAATTTTAGAGTGCCCGTTTATTACCAGAAAACATAACTTCTGATCGTCTGGCTGTGATATACGCAGCAAAAAAGAAGAATATTCCGAAGGTATTTAGAAACAAATACTGTGCAGCATTACTCTATTTGTCTCCTTCTAGAAACGACCTCCTGCACCACCACCACCACCACCATCTACTAATCAAAATTCAGTGACACCGTTACAGTCCCCACAATCGCCACAGAAACGTCTGTGTTTAGAACAAGATAAATTTCAGTCTAATAGCAATGAATTTCAAGGTTTATCATCTTTTATTACTGTTGATACATCGAATTTATCATCATCTATGATTAATCTGCATTAAAAGTGTTATTTATTTTGAACTAGCCATGTTTTTTGTTGTTGTTTTACAGTCAGATAAACTGTGTTATACCTTTTTTGAAAATTGATTTTCTTATCAAAAAGTTTATTCCCCACTCTCTCACCTTTTCTCTTCATTTGATCAAATCTAAGATTTGTGCGTCTTTATGAAATCTTTTTCTACTGGGTTTGTCCACTATATATTTCAAATCCACGAGAATTCATTTTCATGATAACCTAGTTCTAAATGATAAGTACGACAAGTTGTTTTGATTGTTATATTGTACAAATTTTCTATTTTATGTTAAATAAATTTTTTCTTTATGTTTTTTTCGCCAGAAATACGTGTATATGTTTCCAAATGTAATAAATGACTAATCGAGAAGTGAAATTTTTATTGAAATCAATTAGAAATCACTATGAATCGGACAAATCCAAAATCATTCTCTATTGTAGTTTATGGACTTTTTTTTAAAAAAGTTCATACACGATAAATGTAAAGGTTAAAATAACAATGTTTAATGGACTAAGATTGAATTAGATGAAAACTTTTCTAATTAGATTATAGAAATTTTGAATATTATCTAAAAATGAATGTTTTATCTCTCTATTATAGATTTGATGGAAGTTAAATCAAATGAAAAACGAAAACGTTTATTGCGTTATATTCCTCATGAATCTAAAATATCGTATGAATTAAAATGTGAATGGAATCAATGTAATTTAATTATACAAAATTTAAATGATTATTATCAACATTTGGATGAACATTTAAATGATTATATCAATAATACTCAACAACAAGAGTCAATAAGTAATATTTATTTTATTGTTATTTTCTTTTAATAATATTAATAAATTTTAATTTTTCTAGATTATACTTGTCAATGGTCACACTGTGGCTATGTTGAAGATAAATTTGATAATTCATTTATTCGTCATGTACGATTTCATGGTTTTCATACAAAATTGAAATATATCGGTTTAAAAACATATGAACAAAATTGTGAAACAAGAATATCTAAATGTTCAATTAGTCATGAACATTGTAATATGATACCAGATTTACCCGATGAATTTCAATGTTCATGGGATCAATGTCGAGTATGTACCAAATTTATTTAATATCTCACTAGTAATAACAAAAAAGAGTAAAAATGTTCTATTTTTTCTTTTTCGCTATAGTTTTCAAGTAATCATCCTCAATTATTTTATGAACATGTCAATCAACATATGAACAACAATTGTTCGATTGATTCAAATTCAAAATTGACCATATGTCGATGGACAGGTAAGATATTTTTAATCATTATCGTTTATTCCAAATGAACCAAATACTGATACAATTGATTTCCAAAATCTATAAATCCATGATGGTTTGCTACGTTCAACAATCGCTATGTTATAGGCATCTTTACATTCTGTCTCAATTCTTTTCAATACATAAATTAGTGGTATAAGTTGTCCAAGCATCTTTTGAGTTTTATAATCCAACGGTTTTATATGCTCAAAAAATATTCTTAATATTCGTATGAGATCTTCATCGTATACAACTTCACCACAATGATAGAGTTTTGCATGATAACGTATAACATCGGAACTATAATATTTTGGAAACAATGGTATCGTTCTAGTAACAATGGATTTTTGTTTATGACACGATGTAAATGATAAACATAAGATAACAAATATGAAAAAAATAGAATCATACATATACGGTAATAAAGACAATAAATGAAAATAAACACCCGCCAACAGAAAAATAGAAGATAGTTATAGTATGAAAATAGTTTTCGTCCAATACTTCTTAGTGAAAAGATGCTATTCTATCGAACTTTGTCCATTTTTCAAACACGAGAATATGTAATGAAAGATCCGATCTATTTTGGAAAAGTGTAATTAGTTAATATTGTTGCTAAATAAAATAAAAAGAATGTTTCGTTGATACAAATTTGTTAGAAAATGGTTTTCGACAATGTATGTTTGAAATTTTGGAAATGCATTTCAGAAAATGATGACCGCTCACATAGTTCCCCCACCAGAGATGTACGGTGAACTCATTTTTCAGATATCGTCACTTTTGAAGCCGTCTCGTCTTTGTTGAAAAAGTTTTTCCGCTTCATCGTTCAAAATCGCTTCATGAAACAGTATTTCTCCGCTTCAATATCGATATTATCAAACTTTTCTCCTTATAAAATTTCATATTTTATTTCAAATAGTTACAATGATACACATAAATATCCTCTATTTCCCAGGAACATCGTCATCCTCTAAAAAGCAAACGACTGAACATTTTCAATCTTTAGTATACCTCTATTTTTAGGATGTTCTCATCGACCGGATAAAGCATATCGTATTCGTGAACATCTTCGCCATCACACCCAAGAAAAAATTATAGCGTGTCCCGTTTGTGGTTCACTATTCTCATGTGGAGTCAAATTTGTTGAACATTGTCAATTATCATCAAATGGTAAGCAAAAATTCGAAATATATCATTTTTAAGCCATAAAAATTAATACCTTTCACTTTTTCTTCCAGTACTGCCATTATTTCAATGTGAAAAATGTTCAAAACAATTTCAGTCAAAAAGTCTGCTTCAAAAACATATTCTAAAACATAGTAAGTATAAAAAATATTGTCGAATTAGTCATTTTGATAAATATTAACAAGAAAGTGATCTAGTCAATGATTGGTTGTATGTTAGTTTTGATTCCTGATTTTGAAATTTATACCTCATAATGCCAATACATCAATTAAGTCAGTTGTGTAAATAATTTAATTTTAGTTCATAAACATGCGTGCCCATATTGTCCATTACGTACATTTTCCTCACCATCGTGTGTGAAACGTCATATTATTTATTGTCACACCGATATCAAATGTTTTCAATGTCCAGAATGTCCTCTATCGTAAGTCTTTATGTGAAATGATACATTTGTATAACTTTGCGTTTATTAGATTTAAAGCAGCCTATGATGTAAGAAATCATTGGAGAAAACAACATCATCTACCATCTCAACAACCGATTATTAGTGAACCATCTACACCGAAACATCATTCACCGATCGATTCAAATAAAGTAATTCAACGTCCACAGACTCTCATAGGTCCAATTCAACCTCCAACTTCCCATCGTCGTCGAGCTCATCCGCCACCAACTTGTATGACTGATGAACAACAGTATCCATGCCGAATTTGTCTTGTTATATTCTCAAATGAAAACGATTTAAATGTACATAAAGCAGCAAATCATAAAGTAAGTCATAACATTTATAAACATTTTAGAGAAAATATAGAATAGCTAGAGAGTATCAGACCAAGTTAAGATGTGTTTGTTGTGTGAAAATTTGATCTAAGTGTATTTTATTAGAACTAAACTAATACTTTCTTCTAATATTATGCTATTTATTTTAAAATACCTTCTTGTTTTTCATGTGATTCTGTACAATTGTGAAAAGGCTACATCTAACGAAAAATTTCTAAAATTCATTACTATTCTAAATAGAGAATGATAACATATTAAGATAGCAGCTTAAAATTTTATTCTGTTTCTATCTGTTTTATAGTCAAAAGAATATGCTTGTCATGTATGTTTTCGCCATTATTCCAAAGGGAAAATTCTTACAAGACATTTACAAAACAAACATCAATTAAAAAAACCAGATGGATGTACAAGATTCAGGTAACATGAACGAACAAATAAGTTACATGTTCTCGTGGTGTAGTGGTTATCACATCTGCTTAACACGCAGAAGGTCCCAAGTTCGATACTTGGCGAGAACAGTATTTTTTTTTTTTTGCATGACAAACGACTTCAAAAGAATAGCGATGAACTTAATTAATATTTCTGTTTTTAGTTATGTCAGTGGTGTAGATGGATTCTATTATTTACAAGGACAATATCAACAAAAACAAAATGATGAAAATAAAAATTCATCTTCGTCTATGAGACCAACGGCCAGTTCGTCGTCCTTTTTAATTGATCGTTTTCTTAAAGATCAACAAACCGACAATATGAAACCGTTTAGTCCCGAATATGAAGATAATTTTAATATTATTGATGATAGTAGACTTGATAATGATGAAGATGATAATATAACAGACTGTACAGATTTTTTAAACAATATACTACAAAATAATTAAAAAACTTTTGTTTTATTATTGCATGTTTTTTCTTCTTCGATTATTTCGTTGTTTTTGTAAATTAGAATGAATTGATAAGTACCAAAATAGATGTAAAAGGAAAGTTTCTTATATAAAAATATTGGCTTAAAAATATTAAAAGAAGTCAGATACGAAGAAAGAACATTATTTTCCATGATGCCGTTCATTTTAAGTTATAGGATAACAATCCTTATTATACTTAAACTGGATCATACATCTAGATGTAGTCAAGAAGTTACCTTCTCTATTTCTATTCTATTTCTTTTATTTATGACAAGATGAGTGATGTCAAGAAAAAACAGTGACAAGTAACAAATAAGCTATTTTAAAACATCTAAACTGTTTGCCTTTGAACTTCAAAAAGAGACAATGAGAAACAACAGAAAAATGTTCTTTTAGCCCAATTAAGTTTCTATGTTAACACATCGACTTGTCCAGCTGACGGTCTCCTTTTGTCGCTCTTTTCAAAGAACTATAAAGTTAGAAAATAATCTAAAATTACAACTAGATAATTGAGTAGATTAAACATTTCTCTATAAAATGAAAAGTGTCTCGGCTCTGAACGTTGATTCGTTATGAAAATACAGCTGTTGTACAAACAGCCCCAAAAATCGATGTTGAGGCCATCTAAAAAGCGTGTCTAAAACAGTGAAGACGAGCTGGCAAAATTGAACAAGTATACCAGTTTGTAGAAAATTGTTTGCTCTACAAGATGTGATAGCTTTTCAAGTTCGAAACTATTCTAATTATTCTGTATTAATCAAAGAAAAACCAGAAAAAACGTGGCGCCGTGACACTTTTGACCGTTTTTTGTCACGGCGTCACGGTTTTACTTTTATATTTTTGCTGACTCTACAGTGTCAAAATTAAAAATAATTTAAATCAGGCTGAGATGTAGTTGAAATAAGCGTGACAGGATAACGCCGAATAATCAAGTTTTTCTCAGAAATAAAATAAAATCATTTTTCTTGCACGTTATTATTATGGATGGATGCTTTGATGAACAAACGTGTTTGATTGGCTTCTACACTGTAAAGTCGAGAACTATTTATAGAAAATCCTCAGCGATTTTCTACATGACGAGGGAGAACAATTTGAGTCAGAATGCTTTGCAGAGACTTGCAAAGTGAAAATGGGTGAAAATAAACTTTTTCACTGTTATTAAAAGTTATTGAACTTCGAAGTTGAGTGGGATGTATTATTTCAGCTTATTGGATGACAGTATAGATCTTTTAATAATGAAAACTAAATTCGACATCGCTCACGTGTTGGACGACTGTTATTTTATTTAAAAAATGAAGAAACTAAATGTGAATTGATAGGATCATGTCTTTGAGTTAATAGAACCAACTACATTTTCGGAAGATGCTAAATTCAGACATAAAAATGAGCAATATTAGCAAGAGCGAATCACTTTGCGACCTTCAGAAAGTTGCGGTGGAACTCGACTTTGTCTTAAACAGGCAACCCAGGAATCTTTCCAGTACCGCTTTGTGATCTCCACGTGTCATACAACAACAATACTTCTCGAAGAATTTGCTGATTTGCAAAAACTGAGAGAACTTTCCGAATCTACTAACATTTCGATGTTAAATACTAAAAGGAGCAGAGATCTGTTACAGGACAACTTGTTGCAATGTAAGTTTTAATAGATGTGAACGAAGCAAGAAAAAGATCACCGACTCGTCTTCTTAGAAAATCGAATCCGATTTTCCAATTATTTAGAAAACCGCTGTCGATTTTTAAGAATGTTGGAAATTATTTATAGAAAATCTGTCGATTTTCCAACTTTTTAGAAATTCCTTATCGATTTCTGACAAATGAGAAAAGTCAATTCATAGAAAATCGAGCGGATTTTCTATAACGTAGAAAATAATTCCAAATTACAGTGTACTTATATCTGAGGAGCTTTTTGACGAAAAAACACCATAAAGACGCCGAGAAATGCTACAATAACTCGACTGTGATTACATGTAAGAGGACTTGTATGGATAGAAAGTTTGGCTAGAAAATTTGCTCAGAATTTCGTTGGCATTTGTAAAAAAAAGAGTAATTAGCACTGAACTTGTTAGACAATTACAATTCGATATACCTAGAATGACACTTAAAAAAACAGCTGCGTTACCAAGAATTCAGATGCAACATCATATTAATGTCTCACATGGAAATGTGATTGAAATTGCTCATTATTCAACGAGAGAACAGAAATATGTGTTTAGATTTCAGAGAATTTTAAACTTTTTGTTGCTAAAGAAGAAACTTGTTGTCATGTTGTTAAAAAGCCTAGATGACGTTTTTCATTGTTTTTGTCATTAAAAAGAGCAGTTTATGTCATTTGACGCACTACTTTCAACTTATGAAGCAAAGAAAAGCTGAGAAAAACTTCATCATTTCTTAAAACGTTATTCCGTCACGCTTGAACTGGTCGTATAGTCTTTTTAACAAGCGTTTCTAGTTTGTATAATAACGCTTTATCTATCTCAGCAGCTATGTTTTTCAATTGAATTTTGACTGTGTTTTCCGACGAACTAGGACAGTGAAAACAAAATTTTTTATACCATGAAATAGAGCACATGTCAATATATATTTGATCTATTTCAATTTCAGAAAAGCGGACTTTCAATTTTTTGTTTGATATTCACGCGATTGTCCACTGTGTGGAGATAAATCATTTATTAATATAAAGAAGAGGAGTGATCCAAGTGCACTCTCCTGCGGTACGCATCTCTACTAGACTTATACATGATTATTTAATAATCATCGGTGCAAGTATTTGACTTTTTTATGACATTGTTTTCCACTAATTCCTCTCTTATAAGAAAGTTTGAACAAGATGAACCTATCCTCTGGAAGAATAATTTTTACTACCTTATAGTTTTTACACGTTTGAACACACATTACCTCTGACTGTAATGATCCGAAGAGAAAGCCGCAAAGTCATGGTGGTCAGAAAGAGTTTATTTAACTGTTGAATATAAGGGAAGAAAGTATGATTTGTCAAACGTTAATCACTAATATTGAGAGCTACATGTCTCAAAAACTAAGAAGGGTCTTTTTTAG